CTGTGCTGTCCCTTTCCTTGCATTAAAGCAGACAAAAGACCAAACCCACCATCTTCCATCACCTGTGATGGTTTCCCTCTAGCTTAGATGAGGGTATCCAGAGACAGCCATTGCCCCCCTCCCTTCACCCTCCTACTCCCCATCAGGCATATGGCCACTGATTGCTTGTTAGAAAAGCTCAGCTCTATTTTATCTCCACCACAACTGGCCACCTGTCCAATAGCTCCAACACTATTAGGGACTCAAACCAGAGCTTCCTCCAAGGTGCCCCTGAGCTGGACCAGAACCAGCCTCACCAGAGCTCCAGGGTGCTGCTCACGAACACCTAGAGTGGGGCATTGTTAGAGAGCTAAGTGGGGCACGTGCTACCTGGCTGCAGTGTGCGCACAGCATGCAAGCCTGGGGTGACCTGTTCTCTTTTTTTTTTTTTTTTTTTTTTTTTTTGTTTTTTCGAGACAGGGTTTCTCTGTGTAGCTTTGTGCCTTTTCCTGGAACTCACTTGGTAGCCCAGGCTGGCCTCGAACTCACAGAGATCCGCCTGGCTCTGCCTCCCGAGTGCTGGGATTAAAGGCGTGCGCCACCACCTGTTCTCTTAATCAGACAAAGCCTCCATCAATTTCATAAGGAAAAGACCCCAAACCTGATGCTGGAAGAAGCGGTGTCTCTCTGCATTAAAGCTCACCATTCCATTCTTCCTCTGGCTGTGTTTCTTTTAATGTTATTAATTTTTATTAAGGTTCTTTTATTATTGATGACCATTATTATGTTTTTCTACAAACATAATAGAACCCTGTTCTACTATTCATATGCTTTGGGAGACAGGACTTGACACAGCTTAAAAATAATTTTTTGATTATAATGTGATATTATCACATCTGAGAAAATTTGGAAAGCAGAGAAAGGAAAAAAGGAATCCACCCTGATCCCAGCAGTCTAACGCAAGCACTGTTAGCATTTGGGGGACTCTCCTATGAGTCTTTATCTTATGCATGTTTTAACAGGGTAGTAATTATCTCTACTTACATTTTTTATCTTTATTTTTTCACTTCGTATAGTTATCATATGCAATTTCCAGATTACATCATTCTCATAAACGATCATTTTAATGCTTCCATAATATTCTATCAAGTCTCAGAACCATGATTTATTTAACCATTTCTCAGCTGTTGAATATTTTGGCTGTTTCTGCAGTTATGCTTATAGGATGTGGTTGTTTGTTCTTTGGGTTAGGGTTTTTTTTTTTAATTTTTTTAGAACAGACTGACAAAATGCAGAATTATAGAGCAAAAATGGGGTGGATATTTTAGGCTATTGATATATCCTAACAGTGCTTTCCAGTATACAGTCTAGCCTAACCATATATATTTTTTAATATTTGGGGGAATGTGGACATTTAATGGACAAGGGAGGGACAAATGAGATCTCTTCTATGCTGCCCATGCTGGAAGCCTCAGAAAAACACACACCATAGTATTTCTTTGTTAGAGTGAAAAGCAGAAAATTAATCCCATATGCAACTCAAAACGCTTGTTCTGCTATGTGGAAAGGTTACCATACAGAAAAGAACCTGGCTCACCATCACTGGGCCACAAATAATAATGAAAAGCTGCTCTCTGAGGGCCGGATTTTGGAGAGACATCCTCCCTCTGACCACCATAATCCTCAGCCCCCTGTGCCCTCCATTCTCTGTTCCCTGGAGAATTCAGAAGAATGTGCTGTAAATCATCCCCCTGCTGTGTCCTTGAGGGAATGTGTGACTTGAAGACATTTCATTGCCAGAGGATGCTTGGCTTTCCTGAAGCTAGGAGCCATGCATTGTGCTCTCCAGCTCTGAAGGCCCTGCTCCTGAAGCTGAAGCTGCTGGCTAAAGAATGGGGTTTCTCCTGACACAGGCATTCTCTCTGTAGACAACCCATTCATAAGGCAACTGCCTGTGTTTCTATTTCCAGAAGAAATTAGTTCAGATGCAGAAAAAGTTTTAGGTTAAATGGTGAGAGAGTCCACTTGGCTTTGGACTTCCACACAGAGTTGTGCAGGTGGTTGAGACTAGGAGGCACATGGGGACAGCCTAGTAGCCAAGTCATGCATTGTAGCTTGAGGCTGTTTCCACCACCGCCACCTCTCCTCTTCCTCCTCCTCCTCCTTCCTCCTTCTTCTCTTCCTTTTCCTTTTATAAATGGAGTACCATTTTAAAATACTTTTGTCTTTGAGAATAGCTTCAGATTTGCAGAAAAAATAGTAGAGAGTTCTCATACACCCCACATGGTGTTTCCCTTACTGTCAATACCCTCCCTGGCTATGGAGCATCTGTCACAATTCAAAACCCAGTATTGGTGCATTAGTACTAACTTAAGCCCACACCTTACTTTGATTTGTTAGTTTTTACATAAAATCTTCACATTACCTCATATATGTGTGCCACCCACATGCTTATCTGTTGATGGTGACCTTGAGCTCATAGCCAAGGTGGTGTGCATCTGATTTCTTCACTGTAGAGTTGTCTGCTCTCCGCACTTCTCACACTGCATTTTTTAGAAGGCAATCATTATGTGACCATGCTCAGACTAGGAATTCATGCTCTGCTCCTTTAACGGAAAAGTAATTATGCAAAGTGTTTGGCACTTTTGTGCACTGATTGTTTTCCTTTTTTAAGGTTTTTTGTGTGTATGTACTGGGGCGGGGGGCAGTGACTGTGGAGGCCAGAAGAGGGCGTCAGATCCCCTGGAACTGAAGTTACAGGCAGTTGTTAGCAGCTTGATGTAGATGCTGGAAACCTAACTTGGAGTCCTTGGCAAGAGCTGCAAGTTCTCTTAACTGCTGAGCCATCTCTCCGGCCCAGCCCCTTCATTTAAAAATATATATAATTTACCCAATCATCTATTTAGACCAAGGAAATAGATCCAAGTCCTGGGTACATGCCATTGTGGTTGGGATTATCAGTCAGTACTGCTTTATTTTACACTTAACCATCCCATCTTTAGCCATTGAGAGCTCTACCAGTGACTTCTGTGTCCCTTCGGAATATGTCATCATCATAGGTCTTTATTCCTTTTTTATGGAGCTTATTATGGATTGGATTGGATTCTCCAAACCCAGAGTGTTGAAATTCCAAACCTCAATGCCTCAAAACATGAATTTAATTGAAAAATGTCTGCTACAGATGTAACTAGTTCAGATTTAGTCATAGAGGAGTAAGATAGGGTGTTAATCCAAAATCGTCGGTATCCTCATAAGAGAGGTAACACAGAGGGGGAGAAGGAGATGATGGTGGCAGAGACAGGCAGCAGACTGATTTCACCTCCACAAGGAAGTTCCACAGAGTGCTAAATGTTGCCTGAAAAACACCCGAAAGTAGGATGAGGTAGGGTAGGATCCCACCCCACAGGTCTCAGAGGAAGCATGGCTCTCCAGACACCTTAATCTTAGTTTTCTAGCCTGCAGAACTGTGAGAAGATAAATTGCTGTTTCAAGTCACCTGGTTGGTTGTAATTCACTTGGGGAGACCTAAGCAACAAACCAAGCCACCTCCTCACACAGGCATGCACCTTGTGCTTCTGACATCGTACGTAAGATGCCCTGGGATCTTTTTGGATACTTCTTGCCATGGTCACAGATCAGACTCTTTTCTCAAGGAGCCCTGGTTCCTTTTTTGTAGAGAAAGGTATTAGAAACCAAAGTCTGGGATTTGGGAGTGCTTGTTGCTGTAAGAGCGCTGCTGCCTCCAGGCTTTGTCAGGAGACAGAGCAAGGAATTACATATGTGCACACTGGCCCTCACACGCACGCCCACCTCTCAATACGCCCGCCCATCTATATTCAGCTAAACATAAGTTCATCCTGATGTCTCCATCTCCAATCCATTACCACATGGATCCCTCTAGCATCCTCCTTTAGCTTCTCTGAAGCTTCCCACTCCCACCATCTGCCATACATCCACTTAGTCGGCCAGTTCCTGTGCACCTGCGTAGCAGACAATACTCTTTTCTGATTTATACAAAAGGTGCTAGCTATATGGGGGCCTAGCAGTACCCCGATGTCCATCCATCCAAGCGCCAAGGCCCGTGCTTCCTTCCCCCCCCTTCTCTAAAACCTAATCCTCCTCTCGGTAAAGGATCTGTTATCAGTTACTGGTATCTTTGTATCAGTCTGAGCAAGCTAGGCTAAGCCACAGGAACAATGAGACACCAAAGTCTCGGTGAGCTTTGCACAGCAAAGCTTTACTTCTCACTCACACGAGAGGCCATGTGGGCAAGTCCCCCCCACGTTCAGCTTTCTCGTTTTTTGCACTTGTAGCCTCCACAGTGGGAGCAGAAGGAGAAGAGAGGACTGAAGAACCAACTGTGCAGGGTTGTCTTTTAGAGCCATGATCGGAAGCTATTTATATTCCCTCAGCAGGCATGCCAGTGGTCAGGACAGGGCTACAGCTCGATCCCAACATGTAGGTAGGTGGAGCACCAGTTCTCTTCCTTGGAGCCCAAGGAGGTCAGCCATGTGCAAAGCTCATATCGTTGTCTCCATCTCAGCCTTCACATGAACTGTAAGCAGTGTGTTAACTTCCCCCCAAATTATTTTCATTTTAGATCTTTACTTTGTATCAAATGATCTTGTTTTATAATAAAGAAATTTTGAATATCTATAGCAGGGCGGGGGCAGTTCAATAGAAGTTTTAGTAATCTACTCTTGAAAATCTGTGTCTAGTTAGCCTCTCCCTCTGCCCATGCCAGGTTGTTCCAATATTTAAGTTTTAAAGAGCATATCCACTTGCTGATGGCTCTCCCAGAACACGTCCACTTCCCCACCGTACCCAATCCAAGTAGGTGAGCTTGGTGGTCTGAGGAGCCCCTTGGTTTCCTTGAATGTCATACAGGCAGAAGGGACTCAAGAGCCACTGATGGAGGGCACGCCACAAGGTGTCTGATGCTATCAGAATAGTTAATGCTTTGAATGGCAAGGAAAGGCACCCCATTCTTCTGGGAAGTTAATATCAGAAGGAACTTTACGAACGAGGCCCAAATAATGTTTTAATGACACGACGGCAATGCTGATGGTAATTTAACACCAGCAAGGAAAAACATGACATAGAATTGAATGCACCGTCTGATTTCACTCTCTAATATACTATAAACCAAGGAAGCAGAATGTAGCACAGTATTGACAGTGTTTTTCTCTGGGTGGTGGGATAATGGGTGGTTTGAATGATCTTGTTTAGACGTTTGTGTATGTTTTCCAAGCTTTCTACAATGAGTATACATGACTTCTGTAATCAGAAAAGGAAAGCTAAGAGAAAAATTGTTTAAATTTATCCAATCCAGTTCACCTCCCCATTGTAGGGATGAGGAAACTAATGTGCAGAGAGACCAGGCGATTTGTTCAACATCATGTCATTATTAACTTGAAAGGTCAGGAGCCAAGGCACTCACGGAGTTGATTCTTCCCCACAGCTCCCCTTAGAGTCTGGCAACTTGATATAGCTAAGCCTCCATCTTACGGGAAATGTCACCCAACTCACACCACCCTCTTCTCCTGACCCCAAGCTCCGGGAGTCAAAAGTGCTTTCCCAGTACTTCCTCCTGTTTCAGCCTGGGAACTCATAACTGCCAGCTCTAGACAGGAGGGAACAGCAAACTTCTCTTTAGTGTCTGCCATAGGCCAGTCATTACATTGGAACTTAGAGCTCCCTGAAATTCAGTAGTGAGAATGAGGCCGCAATGGCAGACTGAGCTGGCAAACATTTAAACTCACGGCAAAGTGAAACACAAGACTGTTTCATCCCATTTTGTGGATGAAGAGACTCAAGCATGCTCAGACTGCCAATGGCAGAGCTGAGGGAGGCTCACTTACCTCAGGCTTTCTGACTTGAGGCTTTCTGACCTCTGAGCATCATCATTAAGCTACCATGTTTCTGGCACTAATTAAAAGTCCAGGATGCATTCATTGAATTCTCAGAAGGGCCACATCTGCATCCTAATCTCTAGATTGCAGCTGGCTCTCCAGCTCAGCCCCAGACACACCCGTTAGCTTCACACAGGTGGCTTGTCCTGTGTTCTGAGGTGATGGATCTGTTGCCAGAGGTAGACATCTGGGCTCTTCTGAGTCCCTGCTTACCTTTGCACAGGACATTCCCCAAGCCTGCTGGCCTGTCAGGAAGCTGCTCTGAGAAGATGTATACTGATGAGGAATCTCAGCCCCCAAATTCATTTTTCAAAGAAGCCAAGCAAAGCTGGTGATTTATCCTCTGTCACTCTGATCCCAGCATATGTTCCACATCAGGTAAGTGAGATAGAAGGGATGGTTCAGCAAACATTAAGTTAGAAGAAACCCTGTCAGGCTTTCCCTCAAAGAGCTGGTTTTTATTTAAAGCCACAAAGTAATTAATTACGTTGAGTAAAAAGCTAAGGCTGTCTCCTCCACCGCCCTTCTCCGTATTCAGCAAAAGATGCTCTCCTTGACACAGTCACTGTGCACACGCCCACACCAGCTCTTGGTCGGTGTGACTCCCACATTTCCTTCCACTATATCGGCAAGCAGTCTCCCCTGTTTCCTTCTGATTGAATCTGATCCCTTGCTGCCTAGCCCTCCCTGAACTTCTGCTTTGCTCTCTTCTCCTGCTCTGATATTCTGCCACCTACATACACACTCCTTTTCTGGTCCCACAAGTACAGGTCTTTCGTCCATACAGAGGCAGGGCTTCTTGTCCACACCAGGAAGGGATGTAGTACTGCCTTGTTCTCCCCATCCCATGTAGAGCTGGTACTTGGTTCAATCAATTTGCTTGATCCTAAGAAGGGAATATAATGGTATGCCATTAGTTCGTGTAGTGTGGGAAATCACTTGAATATGAAAAACCATAAAAATTAGCATCTTTATTACCAATAGTAACACTATGGACAGAACCCTACAGATGGATGGACAGGTTGAAGGCAAGGAGGGATGCAGGGAAGAAGAGCGGACATTATCATTTCATTCAGACATGCAGAAAACACTCACTCAGCACCTACTATGTGCCAAGCTTGGTGCCAGGCATTGAGAAGGATGAACAGGACTAATGCAAGGTCCTGTTTCTAAAGAGTCTCGCAGGGGAGACTCCTATGTAAACAATAACTACATACAATGCAGTGGGAGGTGTGTTTTAAATGGTGATTAGGAAAGATTTTCAGGGATATTCAAGGACAGGATTGCATTGTTTGAGTCAGGTAGGTAGAAAAGTCTGGCAGGGGAGACTCCTATGCAAACAATAACTACAATGCAGTGGGAGGTGTGTTTTAAATGGTGATTAGGAAAGATTTTCAGGGATATTCAAGGACAGGATAAAGTGTATCCCTTTGCTAAAGGACAGAGGAATAAAGAAATAGGTCTTGCTGGGACACCCACTGGCAGTGCTGGCTGGGGCGTGGGTGAGCATGAAAGACTTGAGACCTATAGGAGATAAAGTTGGTCTCAGTACAGACCTTGGAGCCTCCTAGTTTCTTAGTGTGCCATGGCAGAGAACAACTGAAGGTATTTTAGCAAGGAAGTGACATGCTCCATCTTGGATTTTTGATAAATCATTCTGGTATTTGTATAAATTAGTGTATTGGTTTTCAATAGGCAGCAAGCTGGAGAGAGCTACCAAGATAAGGGGAAAAGGCTGTCACCCCAGCAGCAATCACGGGTATGGATGGTAGAGGCGTTGCTCTGGTTTCTGCCATATCCCAGGCACCATGGTAGGTAGTGGTAACTATATTTCCTCGTGGGTGTGTTTAGAAGCATGAAAACAATTGTATGGCTCATCACAGCAAAATGAGTTACACACACCTGTTAGCTGATGGCAAAACCAGTGGCAGGTTCTTTGTGCTGGAGTCATAGGCATAGGTCATGAGAAGGGGTAGAAATAGGTAGTTTTATGTTTTTGTTTAGAAAACTTGAGCATGGGCACTCAATGCACTGCTGGTTATAGACAGAAGGTTTCTTCAGTCCCACCTGGCCACACAGTCTTATAGCCACTTATAAAATAATCACTCAGAGGCTTACATTATTTATAAACTATATGGTCTATGGCAGGCCTCTTGCTAGCTACCTCTTATATCTTAAATTAACCCATTCCTATTCATCTATGTTTTCCACGTGTTCCATGGCTTACTGGTCTGCTGGCATGTTGTTCCTTGGGTGGTAGGCTGGCATCCCTTCCAGCTCTCCTTTCTCCTTCCTGTCTCTCTCCTCGATTTCCTGCCTGACCATAACCTGACTCACCATAGGCCAGAGCAGCTTCTTTACTAACCAATCATAGCAACACATATTCACAGCATACAGAAAGACATCCCCCAGCAGCTGGTGGGGTGTTCATTGGTACAACCATTCTGGAGAGCCACGTGCTTGCACTTTTCAAAAAACTGCAAAATACGCATTTATTTTGCTCCAGCAATTTCAACTAGACAGATGCAAAGTAGGAAAAATTAGAGATATGTGCAAAGATTTCACTAGAAGGGTATTTATCATAGCACTGTTGTCACAGTAAAATATAAACGTAATACAAATTCCAACAATTGAGGACGGCTTTAATACATTACAGCACAACTATACGGCCGTCTGGTTTGCAGCCATTAAATGCTATGGAGTGGAAGTGTATTTATAGATATGGAAAGATGTTCACACCGATGGAGCCCCTCTTCAAAGATGCAGCTTAAATAAAAATGGGTGATTGCTATGCAAACATGACTTCAAGACAAATCTCTTGGCCTACCTCTGTACTAGTTTCCAATATATTTTTAAGTGATTAGAAGCTGAGTGCCAAGCAACATGTATAATACGAACTCATTTTAATTAGAGAAAAAAAATATATGCATGAGGATCTCATGAATACTCAGCCTCAGCAAAAGTGGCAGAGGGAATGAGGTGTTAAATACATTTTTCATGGGGCAGGGAGATCACTGGGGTGAGACAATTTTATTTTATTCTAGCTTTTCTTTCTTTTTTTCTACAATGAGCATATGTTTCTTACACACCAGAAAACAAGGGAACAGAGTCTGTCCGTCAGTCCAGCAGTTGGCTGCCTCCCGTCATGCCATTCGTTCAAGCGTTGGACTGGATGTGTCTCATGGGAAGTACTGGGGATACAAGGATGACCAGATCTTAGCTCGTGTCCCCAGAGAGTTCCCAATCTACCAGAAAGGCTGATCTGCAGTCTAATTCTGGCCCAAGGTGAGACCTTAACCAGTGCATGGTTAACCTCTTCTGTAGGAGATAAAACCTGACTTGACTTGGGTTGCTGCAGCTCTGTGCTGCAGGATCTTATTCCCATCTAACAGTGGTGAGATTCGGCAGAATGATATGGGGAAAGAGAGCAATGTGCTGGGAGTCACCCTACTCAGGAACCTTTGTAGTCTGTGGACAAAACTTGGCCATTTAGGTATAAGACCCTTCCCTCCCTGGTTCCAGCTCTCTTTCCTGCTTCCTCTCAATTGTTGCCTTCATTAACTCCATATTCCTGCTTCAGATCTGAGCCACCATGGTCGCACAAACCTTCCAAAACCTTTGAGTTAGTCTGTGTTCTGTTTCCCTACTGAAAATTCTGGGACATGGAAGTAGACGTGTGGTGATGTCCCAGAGGCTCCAATTGCCCACAGCTGTCAGTGAAGCTGTGTTTTCTGGGCCCCTCTCTTAACGAAGCCTTATCCTAGGTGCTGAGGGGTTCCAGAAGACTTTGTTTTGTTGCTCTGAGGTGATGGGGAAGGAAATCTGTCCATCAGGTAACATAATACCACACTCTGAGTGAATTAGTAAGAAAGGAGGCTTACACGGACTCATAGTCCTGGACCAAGGTTCAAAGTTTCATGCGGTAGTGGACTTCATGGCTGGCAGAGGCCTGAGATGGCACAGGGTATCACATAGCAAAACAAGACACATTTGGTGTCCTCGGATTCTCTTTTTCCAGTGCCAGCAGTGCGCCATCCTAGGGTTCAATACTTGTGACCTTATCTAATCTCATCACTTCCACAGGCCCCACCTCTAAACATCACAGTCAATTAAGTTACCATCCTCTGAATACCTCATGGTAGAGATTCAACCACAGCCTGAGCTCAAGAGGCAACAACCCCATTCCGATCCGTGCAACTTGGTTTCTTTTATATATTCTCTTTAACTCCAATCCAAGATTTCTTCATGTCAATGCTGTTGACATTTTGGGCCAGATAATTGGGAGGGGGTGCTATGTATGTGAAAGAATGTTTGCAGCATCCTTGTTTGTCCTTAACTCACAGTAGCATCTCTATGAAATCAGAAATTTCACTAGACATTGCCAAATGTCCCTGGAGATCAAAGTTGCCCCAGGTTGAGAGCTGACATAATCACCAGCCATGTAACCTGCAAAGGTCACTTAACATCTCTGTGCTTGAGTCGTTATCCAGAAAATTGGAACATGGAAATAGATGTGTGATGACGTCCTGAGGGCTCCAGCTGCCCACAGCTGTCAGTGAAGCAGTATGGTGCTAGGTGCTGAGGGCTTCAAGAAGTCACTGTGTCCTTGCTCTGAGGTGTCGGGAAGGAACCCTGTCCATATCAGTTAGCACGCGATCCATGCAGCACAGGAGTTAGGTGTAGCACTGTGGTTTTGAGAAGCACATCGCTGCAGTGCAACTGTGCATGAGGTTCAGGACCCATGCAAAAAGTTGCTTCTCTCCTAACATGTGAAGCTTAGGGTAGTTCTTAGAAGACGGTGCTGCTGCCTCTCAACAAGCCACATGGAGCACCTGTGGGTGTCAATCTAACTCTCCATGATCTTCCGAGAACCCCTGTGGACAATGGGTCCTGGACTCCAGCTCTGCTTCAACAGGCAGAGAGTATGGATACTGGGATACTGCCGGCTGACTGTGAGTCTCATTACCCTGGGCTTATCTGCAGATGCTGCCATGGGTGAAGGCAGCAAGGAGAGGACCTGTTGAAAGAAATTAGATATTCCACAAGCAAGCCCTCTCTTCTCTCCTGTCACTGTTAGGTTTAGACAGCTGGCCTCTGTCAGCCTCAAATCTTTGTTGTGTCTCAGAGACTTGTTCAACAAAAGTGTTTTCTAAGAGCTTTGGGAAGATACTCTGCCACTGGGTCACACAAAAGGACTCATAACTACTAAGGGGCCTTGGTTCATCTTAAGTGTTGGCCCAGCTACCAGTGAGACCCATTATAGACCTGTTCTTGCAGTCAGCACCCTACATCAACACGCCTTTGCTAAGATATCTCATGCAACTCTGATAAACACCTTTACAAGTTCTTATTCTGCTAAGAGAAAACTGTGGTCCGCTGAGGTTTCATCACTTTCTTAAGGCAGACCTCATCCCCAAGTGTGTGGCTCCATCAGAAACACACACTCTGTTCCCAGGGCACAGAAGAAACGAAGCCTGAGAGAAAGCAGAGCCAACTCTACAATGGTAACGGGAGGAATGTCATCTGTGGACAGGTCCAGCTTCTAGAGTCCAGGGCTCTGACAGCTGGCAGAGTCTCTTTTGGGAGGCCCCAAAGTTAAGGTCACAATGTACAACCAAGCCAGGCATGACTTCCTTGTGAGGATCAGAGGAAGCTGCCACAGCCTTCCTGTTGCTGGCTTGGGATCACTGTCCATAATCTGGCCCTGAGTGACAGGAGTGACTGTTGTCCATAGCATCAACCATCAGGAGCCAGGAGTCAGGGGTCTCTAGGCATCCTCTCATAACCCTTTAAGCAAAAAGAGCAGGGTCCCTGTCAGTGTGCCATGGGAAAGAAACCCATGCTTAGTGTGAGGAGACAGGAACTCCAATCCCCATCTCGCTTCCCCAGCTTGGTTTCCTTGTCTGTTATTGTATACCTGAGTCATAGTTTCATGCTGTGGCCAGGAACTCCAGTCCCCATCTCTGCTTCCCCAGCTTGGTTTCCTTGTCTGTTATTGTATACCTGAGTCATAGTTTCATGCTGTGGCCAGGAACTCCAATCCCCATCTCTGCTTCCCCAGCTTGGTTTCCTTGTCTGTTATTGTATACCTGAGTCATAGTTTCACGCTGTGGCCAGGAACCCCAATCCCCACCTCTGCTTCCCCAGCTTGGTTTCCTTGTCTGTTATTGTATACCTGAGTCATAGTTTCATGCTGTGGCCAGGAACTCCAATCCCCATCTCTGCTTCCCCAGCTTGGTTTCCTTGTCTGTTATTGTATACCTGAGTCATAGTTTCATACTGTGGCCAGGCATGCAACACACACATGCCTTCAATCCAAGCAGTGGCGAGACCAATACAGGAAAGTTGAGATGTCAAGGCTTGCCTGGACTATGTGGTGAGATTCTCGGTCAAACTAAAAGATCCACCCTTTTTTAGCTCACAAATATGCACAATAATCTTGTAATGATTTTTTTTAATTCATACAAATATCACATCTACCTCTAAGATCTGAGTTAGACTAAACATTAGCATTATTACAGCATGTATAGGAGTTCCAGCCCCTGCTACACAAAATACACTCTTCTATTAAAGGCTATTTTTTTAGTACCTACCACGCATCAAAAATGCTGCAATATCAGTAGTGAACAGAGCCAAGCTGGTCCTAAACCAAGCTGTTCACACTCACTGGAAAGGCTACATGAGGGAAGCTGGGTAGAAGGATGCCAAGAAAGACCAGAGATGCCTAGGGAAGAGAAGGGCAGTGAACGGTCCCAGGACTCATTTCCCTCCTAGGGGTGGGCATCGGCTCCCCATCAAGGAGCTGCCAGCCTGCCTCCCTGAGCAAAGTTTACTGTACTGCAAATGTCCATGCTGGCAGGGAAGATATGTAACATGGTGCTTAACTCGGTGGGGCTGGGGAGAATTCCATTTTGTTGCCGGGAACCCACTTCTAGCACATCTATCTGAATTTTTTAAATCAATGGACTCCTTAAGTGAGTGCATCTGGCACACAGCTCCTTGTGCTGCCTCCCGTGGCTTGAATATTCTCTTGCAGAAAAACAGGGAGGCGGAATGCATTGATGTCTAAGAATGGGACGCTGTTCTGTGTTTGGAGGGGGTGTTTATTCAACAGCTTCCCCAGCTGCTTGGGAGAGGTGAAGCCTTGTGGACAGCCGCATGTTGAGTGTCTCTGTTGTTTTATTAAGACAATCTGTGTTTAGAAGTTCTGGGCTACTGTAGGGGTCCATCCTGGAGTGCTGTGAGGTGCAGAAACTTGCAGCCAATGTTCAAGACTTGTTAAGGAGCAGACAGGAGCATCAGTGTTAAAAATAGAAGCTTGGGGGAGTGGACCCAGCAGGAGCCAGACTGTCAACTTGGTTTCCATTCAGAATGCAGATCCAATTGGCTCAGAAGATGGGTCAGCCCCTGAGAGTCCTGTGCTGGAGAAACCCACCAGCCCAAGGGCTCTGCTGTCCACAGGAGACTCTTCCCAGATGGTACTGAGATAACTTGACAGGACTCCCTTATTCTGCCTCCACCCTGGAGAGGCACAGGCCATGTGAAGGCAGTAGTGGGGTACAGGAGTATGCGACACTGTCTGCTGGCATGCCAACCACTTTCACAGTGTGTCGACACGCTGTGCTGAGCTGGACCTGGATATACATAGTGTCCTTACTGGAGGTTCAGCCAAACACCACTTTATGCCTCCCTGTAGATGTGTCTCTACAGCACTCAAAAAGGCTACAGAGGCCCCACTCTACTTCCACGGGGGATCAAGGAACAAACTTAGGACACTCACTAGGGGTAACTAAGGCGGCCATTAACAGACTTACTGTTCTTTCTCCCTTCTCCTGTACATGAGTTGCTCTTTCCTGGGGCCTGTTTTCCTGCAGATGCAGGGTTAAGTGTCAGGTCCTGTATCCCCAGCCTCCATCTCTACTTCCTATTTCTTCTTCATTGCTTGAGGTGAATACTTATTCTTCACATTAATGTGCCCATGAATGATACACAAGCATGCACAAACAAGCATCCCATGGTTTGGCAACCCCCAAGAGGTACTTCATGTTCTTCTTTCTCCCTGACTTTAGGGTCTGTTCACTCTACCCACAAGGATTCCTGCCATTTCTTCCTTTCATCAGAGACAATACATCATTCTTGCCTAACCTTGTCCTTGTTCTTGATAAGGTATTTGACTTGGGGGTAGAAATTA